GTTCAAGTTTGTTAACTCATAGATTGTTAACTATTATTCAAAGTTCCAAGTAGCTATGTTTGCAATTTGTGTAATTTAACACTTTAGTTTTAAAGGGTTAAACAACATACAATCACACTTGGAGGGACATTTGTTATAATATAATACCAGGAGATGAGAAAGTCGGAAGGGTTAACTGAATATGTTGATGGTCTCCGATTAAGCTTATCTTCATATCTAACTACCCTTTTCCTACTCCTGTGGATACAAGTACAGCTACTTTAATTGTATTCTGCAAGCCACTTTTGCTGTTTTCTGGGTTTCTGAACATAGCTCAGATATTAGTCCAGTTTCTCACGTTGGTGTGCAGTGTCAGGGTTCAAACCCACACACTCGCTTCATAAGTGTATATCCACATGGGGTTGGCTACAGAAACCAACAGGGCGAATCCCTAATGTCCTTAACTGCTAAAGCAGATGCGCGGCCACACACACACACACACACACACACACACACACACACACACACACACACACAAACATGGGATTTCGGCCCCTCGCCACCTTCCCGTTGTAAATTTCTAGGGCTCAAGCCTTGTTTAATTGAGCAATATAATAATAGAAAATAAAATTGTTGTTATTATTTTTACTATTTTTATTATTATTGTGTGCAGAGTGACAAAAATATACAATACAATAGCTCAAATAATATGATATATATAAGCAAACAAACAACAACAAAACGAAATATATTTTTAAAAAGACCACACAAAAACAAAAACGTAAGAAGAGAACGTAAGCACATAGTTAGACAGCCTAGTGAGTACCACTACAAATGTTTTCGAGGTGAAGGGACAGGAGACGAGGCCTCAGCGCATTCAACTTATTGAGGGGGACGGCCCTCAGCCGGTGGGGGGGGGGGCGGCCCTCAGCCGGTGGGAATTGAGGGGGTGGTGGGGGAAGGCCTCATGGCGCATCAGCTCCCAAGTTGGGGCACTCCAGGGCTACATCAGTTAGTATGTCCAATGCAGGTAATGATTAAATACCAGTCTGGCGTTCGCTAACAGAATACATGTTGACATTTTAGAATGTACGGATAAGTAGAATACTGGAATGCGCTTGAAAATGGGAATATAATAGAATATGGAAATAATGGAGAGTACACGAATATGAGAATATAGTGGTGTACATGAATATAGCACAATGTCATTGAAAAACAGAAAATCAGATTGTTTGGTCATATAGTAAGAATGCAGATAGAACAACTGCCAACGCAGGCGCTACACGTGAATATATCTGATTTGAGAGGTCGCCCTAGGAGAACATGGACTGATGACATTAAAGAGCTTCTACACCGACATGGAATGACACCAGCCATAGCTGCCCATCAGGCAATGGATCGCAAACTGTTCCTCCCGTTGACGCTTAGTGGCAGAAGTGAAAATTGATGATGTTGATGATGATGGGAATAAATTAGAGTATGGAAATATAGTAGAATATAGGAATATAATGGAGTGTGGCAATATAGTAGAGTGGGAATATAGTAGAGCATGGAAATAGAGTATGGGAATGCAGTGGAGTACATACAAATAGTAAAATATGGAAATGCAGTAGAAAATGGGAATACAGTAGATTATGAGAAAGTAGTAGAATGTGGTAATACCGTAGAATTTGAGAATACAATGGAAAATGGAAATACACTAGAGCTAATGCAGTAAGACGTGGGAATGAAGTAAATAAAATATCGTAATAAAGTAGAATATGGAAACACAGTGAAATACATAACTGCAACAGGACACGAGTATTCAATAGAGTTTACTTAGGGACCAAAAATGCTCTAAATGGGGATCGTCACGGCCCAGGTGCTTAAGCGCCAGCGTAGAAAGATAATTAACACAGAACAATTGGCAATGATCCGAGGACCACTTGCGAGGTTTCTATAGACCGGATTCGACCTGCGGACCGTCAGTTGAGTAGCCTTGTAGTAGAAAAGGAGAATTTTGTAGAATAAGGAAATATGGCGGAATATGGGGAATACGGTAAACTTTAGGAATAAACTAGAATGTTGAGAATACAACAGAATATGGGGAATGTAGTATAATATGTGAATAAATTAGGATGTATGAAATACAGTACATATGGAAAAAAAAAACAGCATAATATGTGAACAATCTGGGAATATACTAAAATGTGGAAAATGCAATAGATACTGGGGAAAGCACTGATGTATGGGAATACAGTAAAATATGATAAACTAGAAGGTGGGGATACAGTAGATATGGGGGATATAGCATAATACAAATTGGTTATCTTGCCATATAAACTAACAATGAAGATGTCGCGGTGACTCGGCTGCTGTTCTAAAGCTATCTGGTGAGAAATCAATGGAAGGTTCATTTTGTATAAATGACTCCACCTTTCTGATAAATTCAAAGTCAGTTCAGGCACACTAAATCACGTGCTGGATTAATAAGAGAGTTAATCAGAATCATAATAAAAATCGTCATCTGAATCATAATAAACATCGTCATCTGAATAGCCCGATGCATAGAAATGATAATCATTATAAAAGTCAGAGACCACGTACCGTGAGATCTCCAGATCTCTCAACAAAGTAATCAACCCAGCACTATCACGCACAGTGTTGAGCTTTGACGGCATCTCGGCTAGCACAGCATTTTCACCGGACACTGACTTAAACAGAAGTCTGTCTTTCATCATTTGAGGCAACGGAAGTGAATCCACTCTGGTCTCTCGTCCAGGGGCTGACCCTACAGCTGTGGACACTTTCACCAGACACAGCTTGACCAGGGACATCGGTTGGGAGGACAGTTCATGGAGGAAGTTCAATGAATCTTCTAGATCTTCTTGTTGAAGCAGACGCTCCATGACCTTGTTAGATGCAAACATGCACAGGTCAGAGTTTGTCAGAAATAGAGCGTCCACAAAATATCGGGCAAGTAGAACGTGCCCAGTCAACAAAGCAACACAGAGCGGTGATACAGTCGATAGTTTACCAGCAGACTTCATTCTCAAACGTATTTTGTTTGCCTCCACTTCTGCTGGCCCTACACCATGCTGGATGAGTTTAAATATTATATTTGCTTGATTCGCAAGGATTAAATTGTGAAGGCATTCGTGACTGAGATAAGAACCAGTGGCACCCCGATCGAGTAATCTTTCTATGCAGAGTAGTGTGTCACTTCCAGGATAGAAATGAAAGTCTGACAGAAATGAAAGTGCTGTCTGTGAATTGTTTCTACTGCTGACGGCGTTAACATCAGCCCCAGCATCCAGCAGTGGAGAAATCATTGATACCACAGCCTTCTTAGTAGCAAGCATTAAGGGAGATAAACCATCACTGTTCTGGCAGTTGACATGGCTCCCAGCTCCTAGCAGAGAAGTTAAGATCTCTTCTTTGTTCTGTGGACATGTTATCAGTAGATGATGTAAGGCTGAATTTCCCTTGTTATCTTTCATATTTACATCAGCACCCTTTTCTATCAGCTCCTTCAGAACTGGAACATTTCTTTTCCGGACAGAAAGTATAAGAGGCGTTAATCCTTCGTTGTTCTGAACGTTGATGAGACTTTTCTTGTCTCCAGCAAAGTCTATCAAACGTGTGACATTCTTTGAATTCTCATTCAAGACAGCGTGCATAATTGCAGTATTTCCTTCACTGTCTTTGTCGTTAACATCGGCACCATTGTCTAACAAAATTTGTAATATATTCACACAATCATCTCTGGAAGATGCCATCATAAGTGGTGTTTTATCTTGTTCATTTCTACGGTTGACCGCAGCTCCGTTGTTTATCAAAACTTTACACAATTCATTCGTAGATGCATCACAAAGTCTTCTGTGTCTAATCACGTAAGTCAACGCTGTCTCATGGCTATTCCTGTCTGCTATTTCTCTGTTGACGTCAGCTCCTCTCTGAATGAGACACTCAGCAACCTCTCCGTTCATTGAAGCCATCAGTGGCGTCTGTCCATATGAGTCTGCTTCATTGACGTCAACACCAGCATCCAGAATCTGACCAATAATTTCACGGTTCCCTTTCTCCACCGCTAACATCAGCAACTTTCGAGCTTCTGTAGGTTTTTGCGAAAAATAATCGTTAACATTGGGGCCATAACTCTTTAACAGGAAGTTCACGTAACTTGGCTTGTCGTGATCTACTGCACATCTCAAAGCATTTTTAACGTCCATCTTAGCGCCATTTTGGATTAGTAGTTTGGCACAATCAGTATGGTCATTTCTGAGAGCATAGTCAAGAGGCGAGTCAGAATACTCATAGCTGTTCACGTCAGCTTTATACTTTAGCAGTAGTTCAATGACATCTTGGCGTCCATTTTGTGCCGCTATACACAACGGATTTTGATCACCTGAGTAATGTCTCTTCATGTCAGCACCATGTGCACACAACAACTCGACTAACTGGAGGTTTCCTGACTCTACAGCAAGAGAAATTAGTTTGTGACTATAACCCTGATTCACATTTGCCCCATACTGTAGCAACCTCTTGATGATTTTCGTGCCAGTCAAGGAAAATCCATTCACAACTTTATGCTGGGACTCTTCAAACATATACATTAACGCGCTGTCAATGTACTCTTTCTTATTTTCCTTGGAGGAAAACTGACAATCCAGAAAAATATCAAGAGACTTTGTATCGCCAGCCTTAATAGCGAGTTCTAGCGGTGATGTCCTGGTACTTAAATGTTCTGTGAGAATGTTAAATACATGACTAAGTCCAGTGGCTCCAGCAGTCGCCTTGTGCTTCCTTTCCTGAAATGTGCTTTTGAAAAAACTGAATTCTGTTTCATGTCTGATCATAAAACGTTTCCCATATTCCCTGACATTATTTCTCTTCATGCTCTTCTGAAGCCACAATCTCATTGTATCCACATCCATGAACTGTGTAGCCCTGATGAGAGCTGTGTGTCCATCTTGGTTCTCGTGATGGATGTCAATATCTTGTTGTTCCAGAAGGAAACTGGTCAAGTCGGTAGACCCCGCTGGACGTACCGAGAGAATCAAGGCTGTGTTACCTACAGAATTCACAGCGTTGACGTTTGCTTGTTTTGACACGAGAAACCGGATAATGTCTGTGAAGCCATTTTCAGCACAAATTAACAATGGTGTGTTTCCATGCTCATCTTGGTCCTCAATGTTTGCTCCAGCCCGGACAAGAGTCTGAACCAGTAGTTTATGTCCTTGTCTGCAGGCAGAGATCAGAGCTTGGTTGAGACCCTCCCGTGTGAAAGAGTTCTCTGATGTAAGTAGTGTCACGGCTTCAGTGAAAGATTCTGAGTTTATGGAAGCCAATAGATCTCCATCGTTTGGTGATGGCTGACGGTGAACGTCGTCAGAAGACACATTGCTGGCTCTGTTTGTCATGGAAGATTTTTTCTTCTTTCCTTTCTTAATTGAACAGCTAAATTTTGAGATGTTGTCCATTTCGGATGACACATTTCCACATGACAAAGTTCCAGATTGTGTGAGAGATAATGTGTCAACTGGCAAAGCTGTAATGCTGACATGGCTTGCAGAAGCTATAGCTTGGTCAGGACTGTGAATGACCTGGGATTGCTGTAAACTTGTATTTACAGTCGAATCCTGCGGTACGGCTGACGCGGTCGGCCGATGTTTTTTGTTCCTTTTCTTGTTTCTGTTTTTTCCTGACATTGTCTGATCTCTGTAGCAACACAAAAATATAATGGTAATCAAATGTTTACAATTATCCATGGAATCTAATAATTATATGTGTGAAATTAGGCGTGAGAAAAAAAAACTGCGTGAAATTGAGCGTGAGAAAACAAAAATTGCAGGCAATCTCCTGTCCATATCCGATCACTTTCCAGTTACAAACTTTTTACATAACCATCAGTGTTGTCAATGTCACATAAACCAATTACCTCTCTCTCTCTATATATATATATATATATATATATATATATATATATATATATATATATGTCTCTCTCTCTCTCTCTCTATTTGTGTGTCTGTCTGTCTGTCTATTTGTGTGTGTATGTTAAGCGTAAACCTGAACAGTGCATGCATATTAAATTAAAAAAACACACTCTGTACAATGTCCATATAGACACACATTCAAATTAGGGTACACAAAAGCTGTTTGTACAGCTGATATGTTTCCGGTTGTACTCAAGTTGTTTGAAAATCACTGCACAAGAAGTATGTCGTGGACGCCACTCTAACCACAGCAGAAGGAGGTGCTTTTTGCCAGTTTGATTGCCTCTGTATGTTTCACATCCTGATACCTTTAATGTCCTGTGCTCACTCGTCTTGAAAGTCTCCTGCTGCCTCTTCTTCGACCGGGAACAATATATTCCATCTCAATCACTGATAGTGTTTTTTGGCGAATTTTCTTATGATCACATTTTAAAGGACCAAGTTTCTGTCTTCAAAATCAGCCATGTTCTAAGAATATGTTTCGGTGCATTTAAAATATTCCACCTGTGTTTATTGAATTTTCACCAACAACAACAAGAACAAAACACACACAAGTCTACAGTCCCCACAGGCTGTACGTGTATTTATTTTGCCTATTTTTTTTTAAACTTAACAGGACTGCAATTCACAGGCGCGCCGTCACGGAAAAAACATGGGGGTAGGGGGTGGGGGGGGGGGGAGTGCTCAGCACCCATCGCCAAAAATTTGTCAAGGGGTTGTAGGGCTTAAGGCATGTTTACTTATCGAATTATTATTATTATTATTATTATTATTATTATTATTAATATTATTATTATTATTATTATAAGTAAAGGACCCTTTTTCACGCCTCTATGCGTGTTGGGCATATAGGGCTAGATCTATATTTTATAGACCAATTGACACTTGGTGGTTGATGTGAGCTAGGTCGACCTGGTAGCCAAGATCGTTTATGAAAAAAGTTTGGCTCCGTCCAGACTCGAACATACGTCTAGCGCTACACCACGGCAACTTCCCTATTATTATTATTATTATTATTATTATTATTATTATTATTATTATTATTATTATTAAATATTATAAGAACTGTAAAAAAATGAAAATATTTACAAGGAACTAATCTAAAACAACAATAATACCTTTTATATTGTCATTATTATATTAAATAAAATAAGCAATGTAAAACGAATACTTTAAAAAGAGCATGTTTGAACATTATACATGGTTCGTGGCGACCACAAGGCCCCCTTGCATATTTCCGTGGGCGGGGATCAGGGGTTTGAGCGCCTAGCTTCTGGCACCGCTGGCAACTCACATGTAAACAGTCAAGTTTACTAACGAACATTAAATATGACTTTAAGTACTAAGCCTGAGTCAAAACTGACTCATGAAAACTACATTTGATAGAAAGGTATACCCACACTATAACGTTGATATTGCATTATCAATTTATTATTAAACAAGGTGTGTATGATATGTATGTTTGCGCGCGCGCGTGTGCTTGATATGTATGTATGTGTAGGTGTGTTTGTATACATATGACTCTGAGTATGTTGTTTGTCTGCTTGTGTATCTGGGTGTGTGTCTGCGAATGTATGCGTCTGTGTCCTTGTGTATGTGCGAATATGTGTGTGTTCGCGCGTATATCCACGTGTATGTTTCAGTGTGAACTGGTTTCTGTGTTTAAGTGTGCCTCTTTGCTGTGTATGTGTGTCTGCATGTGTGCGTGTGCGATTGAATACATGTAGCTGTGAATGTGTCTCTGTGTTTGTCTGCATGTGTGTGTGTCTCTGTGTTTTTCTGCATATTTGATGTGACTGTGTGTACATCTTCGTTTGTGTCTGTGTGTGTCCCCGTATGTGTTTGTCTTCATGTTTGCCTGTATATGTTTATGTGTTTTGTCTGCGGGTGTGTCTATGAGGCTGTATGTATGTATCTCTGTGTGTGGGTGTCTGTATGTCTGTCTGCGTGAGTGTATGTGTCTGTCTGTCTGTCTGTGCATGTCTATGCGTGTTTCTCTGTGTGTGTTGTGTGTGCCCCTTTGTTGTCTGTATGTGTCTGCATGTCAGAGTATATGTCTGTGCGTGCTGAATATATGTGTCTGCGTGTGTATTTCTATGTGTTTGAATGATTATGCATTTCTGCGTGTTTGTCTCTGTGGGTGTCTGTATGTGTTTGTCTGCCTGTTTGTCTGTATTTGTGTGTGTGTGTGTGTGTTTGACTGCGTGTGTGTCTATGTGGCTGCATGTATGTGTCTGCATGTTTGTCTGCGTATGTGTGGTGTGTGTGTCAGTGTGTGAGCACGAATGTAAATATGTGTGCTGTGTGTTTCCCTGTGTGTGTTTATATGTAAGTGTCTATGTGTGTGTCTGTATTTTTGTCTGAGTGTGTGTGTGTCTCTGTGGGAGTGTCCGTGTGTGCATGTGTGTGTCTCCATGCATGACTGTATTTATGACTGTATGCGTGTATGCCTGTATTACGTATGAATGTTTGTTTGTATGTATGTTTGTGTGTACGTATGCCTGTGTGTATGTGTGTATGCATGTTTGTTTGTAGGTATCTGTGTATGTATGTATGTAATGTATGCATGCATGTTTGTGTGTGTAAGTGAGTGGGTGAACGCGTGTATGTGGGTGTATGTATGCACGCGCGGGTTTTTGCATACACTTTACAACTCATGCTTTTGTGTTCTTTTATAATATTCATAATATGCATAACATCATATGATCATAACATGCTTTATTAGTAAAATACAACTGCTGTGCGAAAGATGGTTGACTGGAAGGGCCGAATGTAAGACGGGCCTGCGTGCCCAATTTGTGACCCATTGAAAATAAAGTTCGTTCGTTCGTTCGTTGACAATGAAAAACTAAACCCCTCCGAAAGAATGGCCGCATTGTGGGGGACATAAGAATAGATTCATTGTCTCCACAACAAGCAAGTCATCTGAGCTGAGGCTTCGAAGTCAGAGTGCAACCGCCTGAGAGACAATAAACCAATAGTCTGTATACAAAAAAGTCAGTTCGGTAAAAAAGATCAGCACGCAACACTCAGGTTCTGCAACAAGACCTAAATCCAAAGGGGGACGAACAACCAAAACTTTTTAACGGAGTTTAAAGCCGGTGAACAGAAAGAAGAAGTAGACGTCTATGCCCTAAAGTTGACACAGAAAAGCTAAACTTGACTGGAGAGTATAAAAGTGTATCTACACCGTGAAGTAAAAGCATGACATTAGGTACATCTAAACCGTAAAATATACTGAGAAAATTAGCTCTAATAATGGTGCAGTTGGGAGTGACACACAATAATGTTACAGTTAGGAGGGTCCAACAATAATGTTACAATTGGGAGTGTCAAACAAAAATAAACAGTGACGCAGACTTCATGCGGATATGTCATTACGAATAAACGAATATTCAGATAGTTAACTTGTTATTTTAACATTGGCACTGCATACTGAACAGCTAACACACACACACACACGCACGCACGCACGCACGCAGGCACGCACGCAGGCACGCATACACACACGCGCGCACGCACGCGCACACACACACACACGCACGCACGCACACACACACACGCACACACACACACACACACACGCACGCACGCGCACACGCACGCACACACACGCGCGCGCACACACACATGCACACACACACGCGCACGCGCGCGCGCACACACACATGTACGCGCGCGCGCACACGCGCACACGCACGCACGCACACACACAAGCTTAAGCAGGAAACAAGAAACAAACACGACTAACCTGGAGGAAAATGACGACCAAAGTCACGTAAGCCACCAACTGTATAACTTGTCAGGTGAGTTAACACACTTACGTCGTTTCTTTGAACAGCAGAGTTTCTTAGAAATTCAGTTATAGATTATTACTCAGCTCTGTGTTGTGACAAGTCAAATAAATCTTATCTTTACGATGTCTATGAGTGTGAAAGATTCCTGCCTCTAGTATCCAACTAATGGCCGATGAAAGATCGTCCCTGTTTCTATATGTCGTATTAATCAAGTTTACAGTGTCATCTACACGCTCAAGTTCTTTTACTTTCGCTATCTCCAGAACATTCTTTCACTTTCGCTATCTCCAGAACACTGCCTGTGTGTGTTGATTCTGTTTCAGAATCTGCCAAAACATGGGTCGTGTATAACCCACTACTCTGAGGCACTTACTGAAGAGAAAAAAAAACTAGGGTACGTTGTCTATTAGAAGAATTAAATATTTTCTAGTGTTGGGGTCAGTCACATTACAGCCCCCACTCCTCTTGTCTTAGATCTGCCCGGATCTTGTCACCTCTATGTAAAATATGGCACTTTGAATAATGGACTTTCCTCTATATGTAAATAGTCCTTCTTTTGTAATTAGGTGTCTATATGTCGAGTTAAGTACTCAAATATATCATAATTATCTTAGGAATGTTATGTTTTTAAATTAGGAACCTTAGGAGGGAGATTCATTGATAGTGAAGCTAAAATTCCAATGGCCTAACTATCGCTTTGGACACGGATGAATTCATTTCCGCCTCTATCAGGAGAGACGCTTAGTTTGAACTCATTTTTGACTGAGCTTCTCAAGAGGACACGTACGGCTTGCTGCCTTTTTCCGTATGTCTACCTATCTCTGTTTTAATCACAGATTTATACGAGAATATCATTGAGCATGGGTAAGTACATCGTAGTTTATGAGTGCCATACATGTCACCCTGCTGCTGAGTGTA